CAAATGACGAGATGCTGATAATACAAAGCGGAGGTTTTAATCGAGGGAGAGCCATGCCTCGGCACGAATGGGCCGGCTCGACCGGAGTGATACCACGGCCTCTGAGAAAACCGGTGATAAGCAATTCTTTCGTTGTTTTTCATTGAGTGAGTGAGGTTACCAGAGCCCCAATCCCACTGTCTCGAGCGGGAGAGACGCCCAGATGTCCATGGGCGGCGAAAGTTGCTTACCCGTAACCCGTCTGTTAGTTTGCCCTCTTATACCATAAAAAAAGCAAAATTATCTAAACTTTTTGTATAACTTGTGGCATCTAAATTTGTTATTAGGACTCTACTACTGTTATCTTATATTTTTTTTTATTTTTGTTGGTTATTATTTTAATTTCCAGCAAACTTAAAATATACACTACATGACCAATTATAATACCAAAATTGACTTTTCCTTTTACATTTACCTACTCGAACCCTCTTAAGCGTTTACTCTCCGTGAAATCATAAAGATTCTGAACCAATAATGGATCAATAAATCATCGTAAATCCCAACGACAACCCTACTTGCACAGCCCACGCGCAGATAGTCGCTAACAGCAATGTAAGTACATTAGACTTACAAAGATTGCCTAGTATTAGAGTGATATCAGTTTTGCCTCCTAGGAAATTTTGTTTGTATCATATCCTCATGTTCATAAGAAGAAATTTATCAGGAGAAGAATATTTTATTTTCTCAAAGATTAAGTTGTAGTCAAAACTTAAGTTGATTAACAAACAAGTTTGAATCATCCTTTGTACCCAGAACAGCGGAAAACATAATCATGTAGATAAGATGGGATATGCTCTTTCAAAGAGAGAGCAGTCGTAACGAATTGATAGCTACAGCGATGAGTCTGGGGATTTTATTCAATCAGATATTGACATACCCGACTAAACTCAAAGACCACCTGTTTTTTTTTTCCGTGCTGAAATCCCCTCGGATACCACCTATCGGTGGCATGTCGGACACGAAACGACTAAAACCGCACGCCGTCTCGGGTACTAATAGCCGGGGAACCAGGTATACCCTAGAAAGGAAGGCTCAAAGACCACCTATTTACGTAATTCACCATACAACTGATGTGAGGGTTCTGTTGTAGATTAGCTAAACCAGAAATTGCATCGAGAAGATTAACGAGTATTTAAAGTCTTGAAGATACCGGTAGCAAATTCATGACTCAGGTTAATTTAGAACTTTCGAGACCATTTAAACAATACTGCTGTTTAGGATACTTACTTCTCTATGTAAACTTACGGTTATCTTATATTGTATATTTATAAATGTTAAGTTGGCTTGTGGACGCTTCAAAAACTCAAAAAGTTCTACACCGATTGGGGTCGAATTTTGACACAATATACAACTAAAAACACACGATACAGCTTTAAAGATTGTTTTAATCTATTTATCGAGTCAGTTTTCTTAATCATTTTATTTATTTATTTATTTACACATCATGCACATTTGGTGCATTGGCGGACTTAATGCCTAAGTCATTCTCTACCAGTCAACCAGTGGGTGATGCAGAGAAAACAGGAAGTAGGTGCATTTTAGTTACAGTTGACATTTAATATTGTATGTATACTTTGTACAAAATCATATAATATATTCACATATACAAATCTGTCATATACTACACCTATACATATTAACATTACACATAAGTACATACCTTATAATACATAAATACTGTATAAAAGTATATGAATACATACATACACACGCAAGTAGATACTGATAACAATTTTGTATTAAAAGAAAAAGAAATCATGAGCAAGTTGATTCTGCCAGTTGTTTGACCAGATACTGCTTTACTTTTACTTTAAAGGAAATAGAACCTCAATGTGCCATAGCGACGCGTGGCCCACAGCTAGTTGTTTATAAAACTACTAGCTGACACGGCAAACGTTGTTTTGCCATATACATTATTTCTAAAAAATATTGAAAAAAAATTAGGGTGACCCTTGTCATTTAGGGGTATAAAAAATAGATGTTGACCGATTCTCAGACCTATCCGATGTGCACACAAAATTTCATAAAAATCGGTCCAGCCGTTTCGGAGGAGTATGGTAACTAACATTGTGACACGAGAATTTTATATAAAACTAGCTGACCCGGCAAACGTTGTTTTGCCATATACATTATTTCTAGGAAATGTTGAAAAAAAAATAGGGGTGAGTCACCCTTGTCATTTAGGGGTATGAAAAATAAATGTTGGCCGATTCTCAGACCTACCCGATGTGCACACAAAATTTCATAAAAATGAGTTCAGCCGTTTCGGAGGAGTATGGTAACTAACATTGTGACACGAGAATTTTATATATAAGGTATAATAAATACTGTCCCATAGATCGTCAGACACTTAATCCGTCCATTTCTTAACCGGGCCTAAGACAGACGAGTCGAGGCTATAGGAAGACACCCGTGCACTTATTCAATTTGCCGCTATTATGATTTATTGGTCCGTACAAGTAGGCGCCTATGACCTAGACCGCCGGACAGCTTGGCGATTGTAGTATGTCGCAAACTTCGTAGTATCTGTATGTACATTACCGTCAGTAATGATACGAATGATCGTATTCTAGTGTTCCTGTTACGACCTGTTCCGTGTGGTGACGGATTAAGAATACGGAGTGTTACCACTTCTATTCATCCCGTTTGTATCGTAATAGGCGAGCGAGCTCCCACACTTGGAGAAAACTTGACCCTATACCAACCCGTCTAGCAAGCGTGCGCGTACGCCCAAACCTCCATTCTAAAGAGAGGCCTATGTCAAGCAGTGGAATGAAAACTGTTGATGATGAAAGCGTGTTGATTTAGTGGTCTGCGATCCTGACTGCTAAGCCAGAGGGTGTGGGTTTGATTCCTATCCAGTACAAATATTGTGTGGTGATCATTTGTTAAGTGTTAAGATATTCATCAAACATAGCTAAAAACACTAATTTACCTTTCAAACAAAAAGAAAATCAAAATCGGTTCATCCGTTTGGTAGCTACGATGCCACAGAGAGACACACACCTACGAGCACTTAACCTGCTCGTAAACACACAGATCCAGATTGTATAACTATGTATTCGCAAAAACATCGACGCAGTATTGAGTAGTAGATAATTCAGGGTGTAAATGTTGATGGCACTCATCCTCTTAAATCAAGTACATGATTGTTTTAATGACTTTATCATTATAGTGTAAATATTATTCACGGCAAGACTTGTAAACAATAATTAAATATTTTGTAGTATGCTTCAATAATATTAGTCATAGCATCACTAGAACGTTCCAATGGCGAAATGACGGGAATGATAGTTTCGTCATTCGCGTTAAGAAAATAGTGACGCATCGATCAAGCCACTGACCAATGAGGTTCCAAGCTTTCGTACGAAACTTATTATTAAGATTGTCATGTTTTTCGATTGTCTTAATCATGATGCAATCGATTCTTTAACCATTGGCAGATTTGTTGTAATGGCAATGCCGGGTGAGCTTTATTCTTCCAGTGAAGAAACTGCCTTTCAGTAATATCTTAACTATGCAGACTTTTAAATGTTGTGGATATGCTAAGTGCTACGACCAGATTATTGGTGTGTAATTATGATATATGATTGTTGTATTCCGTCATTCTGTGTACCATTTTGTCTTTATCGCTTTTCATTTATCAGCTAATGAGCTTTTATGGCTTAAATATATATTAAAGATGGCAACCATATCTATTTAAATTAAAGTAGCTTGATAAGAGTACAATACAAAAAGTAATCCAGACTTTTTTTACCTACTATTTGTATGAAAATGTTGGAACTATGCAACCCACCGTACCTCTGAAAGTCATCTTTGTAAACAGATAATAAAGAATTGTGACTCTGACCTCCATACAATGTTTTATCACATTGTGTTACACAATACTTCAGCCACATTATGGCAACTACTGATTTATCTCTGTTAAAACTATTCATGGCTTATTTTAATTGTTTTTGTTTTTTACACATTGCATTTATAATTACTTACAATAATATGTCTGGTCTCTATATATATTTATACTCTATGTATTTAACTAGCTGTTATCCGCGACTTTGTTATCATGGAATTTGAAAGTGCTGCCTTATGGGGTTTGTTTCCTCGACCGGGCAAAAATCTAAAGGGTTTTTACGAGGTAAAATAGCTTTAATTACTCCCTATATCGGACCAGCCATTTAGAAAATTACCCAACAAACAGACAGATAAAAACAAATTAATGGGGGTTTTAGGCATAGGTATCATGTAGATAGCCATGTGGGGATGAAAAAAACCTATTGTTTTGACACTCGGCTCAGTGTTGTGGGTTCGATCCCCCCATCAACAACACAAATTTTGTGTGATCTACAAATTGTTGTTCTGAGTCAAGGTGTTCTTAGTGTCCGTTTCATGTATATTCAGGATATATTCCTAGAGAGGTAATATTTGTATAACACACAAATACATAAACACAACTTCATGAATATAAAGCAAATAATCATGTTCTACTGAATTTGCCTGCCAAGTCTAACTATGCAAACATGATCAACTTCAAAAGTGGCAGACAGTTTTTAATATGATTTTCACCAATGGATAGGGTGATTATTGAGGAAGTTGTGGCTATTTATATATTTATTTTATATAAAGTCACTAGTACCACTACATCCTACTACATTACGATACACCGACAGGCCTGTTGGTCTAGCCGTTAGTGACAATGACTGCTAAGCTGGAGGTTGTGGGTTTGATTCCCATCCAGGACAAATATTGTGTCATGAGCACAATCACAGCAGACAAATGTTGACTAGGTCAGAAAATAATAATTTCAATTTGAATAGGACCAAATAGGAAGTATCAACTAAAAATGTGATCAAATCAAGAGCCTCTTTATTATTCAACTTAAAAAGATGAATTAAATATGTGAGAGAAACAGTAAATCTGCTACCCATGAGAGGGTGGAACAGGCTGCTAGTTAGTACCAAGATTTAATTGCTTACCTGAAATCTAGTAGCAGATGGTTGATCCTTAAACCGAGATGGCTTTTCCACATCACGAAAACTGCTCTTACCGACGTTGGGGGAGTTTGTCATAATAACGCCTTGACCATTCAAAGCATTCTCTGGAAGCAAGCGATCTCTTTCACCAGTTTCCTTCATCCGGAACTGTATCCCTGCTTCAATATCCTCACACTTCGATGGCATATCTGTAGGGTACTGAATATTCCCATTCGTAGCTGCCATAGATTTAGCGGAACTTATCTTTCGAAATCTGCCGATAATCACATCTTCTTCGTCAGTTACCGGTGCATTCAATAGCTCCACTGCAACGCTAGGACTAGCCTCAGGCTTCACAGGACTCATCTCTATATCTTTTTGATGCGAACCCATTTTATTTATTTATTTATTCTACTGTCACACAAAAAAATACCACATTTTTTAAATCTTGAAACGTCCAGTATTTTCACGAAAACTTGTAATAATAGTTAAAAATTAGTTCTGATAAATAAGAACCTTCGTGAATAAACTTAAAACAGTTTGAAAGTGTAATAAAAAGTACACTTTTATGTGAAAAAAGTAAAAAAAATGTGTAAAATATTAAAACACGCGGATACCGCGTTGGTGCTATAGCCAACGAACACCCACTTTGGAATCTGTTTGACAACTAAATTGAATGAATGCGTGAAATGACTGCTTTGAAATGCTTGAGTGAAACTTGACAAATGCCAATGTTCGTAGCAATTGGTAGTGTGCCAGTAACATAATATGTTCATATGAATTAATTTATTAAATATTTATTCCTTTTATATCACAGTAAATGATCCCGTCTATAACTGTTAAATTACCTGACAAAATACATTTTATTTGAAAACTTAATTATGTAATGTACTGGCAAGACTTTGCTGTCAGTAAATAGATGTAAAACAACCGATTTAAAACGTTTTAAATAAAATGTTGCCGTTTTAAATCCCAAATAAATCGTTTAAACTGTTGAAAACTCGCCTACAAAAATAAAAGAAGTGTTTTGTGTTGGCAATTTTTGGTTACCTGACGTCATACCTACATACTTAAGTTTTCGTGTAGCAGGTAATGTAGGTAGCTTTCTATAAATTTTCTATAAATGATTTAAAACGAAACATGACGTCAGGTTACCAATAATTGCCCACAATAAAGTGTAAAACACAGTTCTTTTATTTTTGTAGGCGAGTTGTTTTACATCCACATTATGAAAAGCTTTTGAATCAGCTTGTCTCATAGACAACCCAAAAATCCTCTGTAGGTACAATATTTTTTTTAGGACTTATATCTAGGCGTCTAACTCCTGAACGTAATACTAAAGGATGACCATTAAACTTGCGCAGTGTCTCACTAGTATTGCGGGGAGAGAAATTCCACCGAAAAGACGCTTTTACATTAGTCATGTTCTTGGCCTTTCTTGGGGTGTTGAATAATCCTGACAATCCACACGCCAGTGTTGCCACCTTGGTGATTATGTCACTAGTTTTTTTTTTTTGGCGGGGTGGAAAATCCCTTTGGATCTCCTGCTCCTCGGGGCTAGGAGCTAGGAGTATGTGGTGATTTCACTAAAAAACCACCCCGACGGCCGGCCTAAGGTGCCCTACTCTGATGTAACTAGATCTAGTGATTTTTCTGTGCTCTTAGCGACTTATTTTTATCGTTTGGCGACTATATATTTTTATTTATAAATAGAAAAAATCACCCGAGCAAAAGATACATCTCCGGGAGATGATAACGTAACTTATTCTATGTTAAAGAACTTGACAAGTAACGGAAAAATGTTTTAAGTTTCCCTTTATAATAACTTTCTGCTCAATGGTTTTGTCCCTAAACAATGGAGAAACATAATTATAATACCAGTTCCAAAACGTGACGATCCTAACAATGTATCTACCTTGCGACTTATATCTATGATATCGTGTTTGTGTAAAGTCTTTCATGACATTTTACTCAATAGACTAGAATAGTACATTAAAAGCAATAATTTTTCTATACGACTGGATTCAGAAAATGTCACTCTACTCTGGATAATGTCACTAATCTGACATCTAGAATTCAGATAGGTTTTTCTAAAGGATTTGCCACCATAGGCTGCTTTTTCGATCTTGACAACGCCTATTATAGTGCGGATGTTACTTGTGAAAATTATGGACGGTATCGGGGTTGGATCGAGAATTTGCAATTACCTATGGAATTTCTTCTTTACTCCCTTAGTCGGCTGAACACCACTGTCGTTCCGGCTGGAGCCTCCACGGCGGCGAAGCCAGCGCGTGGAGTCTCCAGCCGGAACGACCAACGAGCCATCGTGGCTCGGCGAGCGGCTTCGCGCCACTCGCGCACATCCTCGGGCGGAGGGCGAAATCCGCTCTCCGCCCGGGAGTCAGCCACTCGCCGATAAACTTCGGCGAGTACTTCCGCCTCCAAATCCCACGGGGGAGTTCCGGCCAACGCGCACGCCACCTCCGTCGACACGGTGCGGTAACCGCGTATGGCTCTGACCGCCATTACCCTCTGAGGGCGCCAGAGGCGTGCCCTATTCTGGGCGGTCAGAGCCGCCGCCCACACCGGTGCACTGTATAGTGCCATTGACCGGACAACCCCCGTGTACAGCCGTCTTGTCGCGACGCTGGGTCCACCCAAATTGGGCAAAAGTCGCCCTAGGGCAGACGCAGCGCCGACCAGCTTTGGAGCAAGCTGTCGGAAGTGCTCGTCGAAGAGCCACCTCCCGTCGAGGATCAGGCTCATATATTTCATCTGGGCCCGAACCGGTACGAGGACCGAGTTGACCACGATTGAGGCGCCAGGGGGTGGACCACGACGGGGCCCATGAAATAACAGGGCCTCCATCTTATCTAGGGCCACCCGTAAGCCCAGCGCCTCAATGCGCCCGACCACCAGGGAGACTCCCCTTGTGGCCAGGCGCGCCCCCTCTTGGAAGTTTGCCCCCCGGGCTGTCACCAGGGTATCCTCTGCGTAACAGATTTCACCCAGCCCGGGGGGGAAATCGGCGCGAAGGGCCCAGTCGTACCCTATGTTCCACAAGAGGGGTCCAAGAACAGACCCCTGTGGAACACCGCACGACATGGGCCGACACCTCAAATTACCATCTCGGTCCTCGTACACGACGGTACGCTCCTCTAAATAGTCTGCCACTAGCCGCCTCAGGTACTTTGGCACCCCATGATAGTGGAGTGCTTCCCTGATGCAGCTGAATGGCAGACTATTGAATGCGTTGGCGATGTCCAATGACACCGCCAACAGCACGCCGCCACAGCTCACAGCCTCTTCGGTCACGGCCCTCAGGCGCAAAATAGCGTCGACTGTCGAACGCCCCGCCCGAAAAACCAAATTGGGCGTCCGACAGATCGGGGCCCACCTCGTAGAGGTGCCGGACGATGCGGGCAGAGAGAACCCTCTCAAACAATTTACCCGCCTCGTTCAGCAGCACGATGGGCCTGTAGGCCGCGACCGAATCGGCAGGCCGTCCCGGCTTCCTTAATAGGACCAGCTTCCCGCTCTTCCAGCACTCAGGGAAACGTCCCGACGCCAAGCTGGCGTCGAACACCTCCCCGAGGCGGTCTGCCATGTGGTTGAGGGCTGGGGCCAGCACTCGGGCCGGAACCCCGTCTGGCCCAAGGGCGGTGTTCTTGGAACGGATCCGTAGAACAGCCGCCCCTACCTCCGAATCCCGGACGGGCGGAACATCATCCTCCTCGTGCTCCCCGCCGTCTCCGGCCAAGGAGGCCATCGCCGGGGGAGTGTGTTCCGCTCGTTGCGGGAAAAGGCCCTCAACCACTTCTCGCAGGAAGCTGGGCTGGAGAGTCTCCGTAAGGGTGGGGCCCGACGCGCGGAGCTTTTGTCGCACCGTGCGATAAGAGCGACCCCAGGGGTCACGATCGAGACCCTCCAGCATCTCCTTTCTCTTTATCTCTTTGGCGCGGCTAATGGCCAGCTTCAGAGTTTTCCGCGCCTCTCGGTACTCCTCATGAAGCCGGTCCTCCTCACCGTCTCCACGGTGACGCCGCCGACTGCGCGTGTAGGACCTCCGGGCACGTGTACATGCCGCACGGAGGTCCGCCAGCTCCTGGGACCACCAGTAGACCTCCTTCCTTGGAGGCCGACGACCTCGAATGCGGGGCATGGCCGCATCGCAGACATGCGTAATCGCATCGCGAAAGCGACCAGCCCCCACGTCGACCTCCTCGGTCGGGGCCCGAGGAGACAGCCATGAGTGAATTATGGCTGCCTCCTCTAGTAGGTCCCGGTTCAGTCTGGCAACAGCCCACCGCGGAAAGCGGGATAGACGCCGCGCCACGTGACCCCTACTGGAGTCCTGGGTCCGGGAGAGCTCAAATCGGATATAAAGATGATCCGAGAGCGTCTCAACCTCTTCCAGGACACGCCAGTTCCTTACTCGTGCGGCGAGGGCAGGGGTAGCGAACGAAAGGTCCACTATCGACCCCCCTGCTGTCGCACGCACGTATTGGTGGAGCCTCTGTTGAGAAGACAGAGGCCCACCGAGGCCGCCCACTCCTCTACGGCCTCGCCCCTTGCGTCCGTCCCGGGGGAACCCCACGCAGTGGATTTTGCGTTGAAGTCCCCCAGAACAAGGACGTGCCCAGACGCTAGTCGCCGCATCGAGGTCTCCAGGTTGTTGAGGAAAACCTCGAAGTCGCTCAAACTCCGGTTGGGGGAGAAATAAACACCATATATGGTGATCCCCCCCCACTCGGCGGCAACATATCCAGTGCCCTTGTCTCTTAGCGACAAGGGCGGGGAATGAGCCGCCGTGGAACCGACGACTGCCACGGAGCCGTCCCAGTCACCCATCCAGTTTGGACGGGGAGGGACAAAATAGGGCTCCGCGACTACGGCAACACCTATCGACCACTGTGCCATGGTTTGCAGGAAGAGATCCTGCGCCGCGGCACAGTGGTTCAGGTTCGTCTGGACCAGGAGGCTGGAGACCCGATCCATTACTGGATCGTCTCTACAGCCTCCTTCATGGGCGACGACGTCGACGCACGAACTACATCGGAGGCAGCCTGGGTCGACTGGCTAGCCCCCGATGCTTGCTGAGAGACTTGATACAAACCCTATACCAACCCGTCTGGCCATCGTGGTATAGTAGGCCAAAACCTCCTTTCTAAGGAGAGGTCTATGTCCAGCAGTGGACTAGTAAAGGCTGTAGATGATGATGATGATGATGATATGGAATTTCTTAAAGGAAAGAAATCTCCAAATCAAAATTGAGGATTTAAAAAATTCTCGAACAACAAGCTACGGCTTAGCCCGAGGAGATCCTTTCTCACCATTATTTTTTAATATTATTACAATGAATATTTGTCATTCAATAAACTTTCTCAATGCAT